AGGGGAGCAAGGGCTGCAGGGGCAGCTGCTGACCCCCAAAGTGCTTCCAGCCGGGGTGCCTGAAGGGGTTAGCAAGCCCAAAAATGGGCTCTGACATCTATTTGGCCACCTGCTCTTAAAATGCTCCCAACACCAGGTTGCTTGGAGAGAGGGGCGAGGTCTGCCCAGCACTGCTCTTTGGGGTCCCACCGCGGCAGGGGCCGGGGAGCAGGCAGAGTGGGGAACAAGCCGGGGTGGGCAGGGCTGGGAAATCCCAGTGAAAGGGGGGGTGAGGTGTCCCCAGCAGCCAGCATCCCTGACACATCCTGCAGAGAAGGGATGGTCGGATGTGGGGAGCCCGTTCCCTGGCACAGGACCTGCGTCCAGCTGCCCTGCGGCCTTGTTTACTGTTCCCTGGGGAGGAGGAGGACGGGGTTAATGAGAAACCCAAGGGTTCCAAGGAATGGGGAAAAACAGCACCTGCTTGGTCAGCCTGGGGAGGAGGTGAGCGGGGCCGAGCGCAGGGGGAGCGCAGGGGTGCACCCCCACATTTCAGGGAGCACCCGCTTGCACCTCTGCACTGCCAGCAAAGTGAGACAGTGAGGTGCCCTGCAGCCGAGGGGGTGTTAGGACCTGAAACCCCCCCAGAGCACAAGCAACCCCAGAGTCTCACTCAGCTATTAGGGCGCAGTCCCCCCTGGGCTGAGGGCATGGGGAGCCCTGGCCTGGCTCTCCCAGGGACAGCAGCCCCGGGGGGGTTACCTTGCTGCCGGCACCGGTGCGCTCCCACCTGGCTCAGCAGCTGCCATTCCACGGAGAGGAGTGACCTGGTGATTCAGGGATGCGGTGGCTGTTGCAAGACCCTTGCCTGGGGCTGGACTCTGCCTGGGGAGAGCAGAGGAGAAAGACCAGTGGTCTGGGGAGAAGCCCCAGGGACTGGCCGGCAGTGGGATAGGCAGAGAGCCAGGTAGCACCTGCTTGGTTTTCACATACCAAGTTTGGTTCCTACAGTTCCAGCCTGACTTCAGTAGGGGATAGGGGAAAAAAAATATATGAGCATCTCTGAACACGTCAGATGGAGTTTCATGGCCGGCTTTGCCCTGGGACTCATAACCTCCACTCTATGCACCCTGGAGGGGAGCACGCTGGGTCCCTGGGCACTGCAGGGTGGGTACAGCCCACTGACAGCACCTCAAGATGTGACAGCAAGAGAAGGGGGGAGCAGAGAGAAACAGACCCGGCCTGTGGCTGGCCAGGAGGAGAAGGAGGATCCCAGCAGGCAGTGAAGCTGCAGACAGCCGGGCCCGCTGCAGGGAGAGCGCGATCGAGCAAAGGAAACTCCGGTAAAATTCTTATTGCCTTTATTCTGCCCATTGCCTCACACAGTCCTGCCGGCCAGCACACACCCACGCACGCATGCACACACTCACGCACACTCAGGCACGCTGGGAGTCTCTCCCTCGGCTTGGAGGAACCGGGCTGCAGTGAATCCTCAGGGAAAGGTGAGTGAGTCTTTTGGCAGCAATCACAGCGTGTGTCAGGAGCGAGGGGGCCGCGCCGGCGGCACCTGCTCCTTCTGCATAAAAAAGGAGGCTGGAAAAAGCGGCCCCGGGCGCAGCCCCGGGCCCCAGTCCCGGGGGGGGAGCGCGGCTGCCGTGGGTCGGGGGGCGGAGGGTCCCTGTGCAAACGTGCTGACGGCCTTGCTCTGCAGTCCAGAGCCGGCCAGGAGAACCAAGAGGGTAAGAGATGTGGAGCCGGGTGCCTGGTCCCTCTCTCTCCCCTTTCTGCTCCCTGTTATTGTTTTTAATATATCTCTTTTTTTAAAAATTTTTCTTTTTTCTTTTTTTTTTTCTTACACCCTTCACAATATAAACTCACGGGGGTC